AGAGAGAGAGAGCCTCATGTTCAAGATATGGGAGGCCCATGGAGGGTCTTGCTGGCTCGACCTTCTTTCCACCATCCTGAGGAGGCATTTGCAGTGGCCAGGCCCACCCAAGGAAGCAGTGCTTGCACCTGCATCCCTTTTGCCTTTGGAAAACCGAGTAACCTTCATAGATGATGCGCCAGCTGGCAAAGAAGGCGGAACTAAGCGGAACTTGAGAGTTGGGTGCTGAGGCCCGGTATTGACTGTCCAAGCGGTACATGAAGGGCTGCAGCAACGTGTGGCCAAAGCGAAAGGCCAGAGTGAAAACATTGGCCACTCGCGGGTCCACATTGGAGCAGTACCCCCTGTAGGGCCCCAGGGTTCTTTTGATCCGGGCCTTGCCCAGAACCAAGGGCAGATAGTCTCGGTAGGTGATGATCTGGAAGAAAGGACATGGAAGGAGTGTTAACCTGAGTGACCGCAGCCCCGCCCCCTTTCCTTTGCACAGACTCTGGCTTTTTCAAGGGCTGTTCAGACACAGTGAGTACTGACTGTCATCATGCCAAGTGTGGCGACATTAATCTCCCATTGGAGGATGAGATACCGCAGTCCAGAGATGATGAGTGTGATAGACTGGGCCAAAGTTTGTGACAGAACCAGGGCCAGAAGCGCACCCTAAGCACCCAGACCCAGATGCTTTGAGGCACAGCCCCAAAACCATGTCCAAGAAGGGGGAATCCACCCCCTCCCTTGCATTGCTCCTCAAGTTTGCCCCTGGCTCCCTACCTGGACCACGGCACCCACGATCTTCCGAGCCTCGTTGTATAGTTTGTCTCCAGTCCAGTGCGGATTCAGGCGTCTCAGCTCAGTGGCCAGCCGATTGTGTTCTCGTACAAATAGGGTGTGCAAGGCCACCAGTTTGGGGGTTTCACTTGATCGGCTGTCACCTTAAAAATCCCAAGTTCAAGCTTAGCAGAGAGACTCTTTCTAGGAGGGCAGACTGAGTTCTGGGCCCCAGAGTGATGGAATGGGGCAAGTCTCACTCAGTTGTGCGTCTGTCACAAGTGTGCTGACCACCACCTTCCTCTTCTGGAGACAACAAAATAGGCTCATGGAACAAGGAAATCTTAGCCTGGTCATTCTACTCTACAAGAGGACAAGATCCACTACCCAGACCTCCTATGGCGGGGAGACTTGGATGACCCTGGGAACTTTGACCATGGGACTGTATGCTGCCTGTCTGCATCTATCTACATGCTCTCTTTCCCATCTCTGAACTTGGTGTCAGACTGCTCTTTCCGGGGGGTGGGAAGGAGGGAGAGAGAGCGAGAGAGAGAGAGAGAGGTGTGTGTGTGTGTCGGTGCTTTCGGGGGGGGGGGAGGGAGGGGGAGAGAGCGAGAGAGAGAGAGAGAGAGAGAGAGAGAGAGAGAGAGAGAGAGAGGTGCTTTGGGCCCATTCCTGTACCCTGACCTTCTGTAGGCAGGCAATGAAAGTAAGTTCAGTCACCTGCCACTCCAGGAGACGTCTCGTGAAGGTACAAGCTACTCCCTGGACACAGGATGCGCAGCGCTTACAGAATGGGCCTTAGGAAAGCAGTGGGGCAGGGTGGACAGAGCAGAGCCATGGGAACTACGCTGACTTTGTCCCCTTGTGGGCTCTACCATCTGAAACACTGGCCTCATGAGTACATTCCTTATCTTTTCTAACTCAGTTTCTCATCTGTAACATGAGAATGGTAATTCCTGCCTTTCAGTGCTGCTGTGAGGTTGGGGATGGCTCATTCAGATATCTTAAACACACAGAAGTGATTATCATTATTATTATAACCACACACAAGGACAATGGACAAAAGACAATGAGCAGAGTTCAATCTATGCATCCAGAAGTTACCATGTGATGGTGTAGCAAGAGGTGGGGGAGAGGGTAAGAAAATTTAACCTATAGAAAAAAATTGTGGTACAAGTAACAGTGGCTTTCTAGGTAACTGAAGAGACAGCCCTGTTCTGTCTCTCCATGTGAAAGAGAGTTAGCCTCTTCTCCTGAGCTCCAGCAGCATGGCTAAGCAACAGGTGCCCTTCTTATAGTCGGGAGAGCTACCTGGAGATGGGCTGGAGTGCCACTAAGGTGGTGAACCCCTCATCACTGGAGACAATCGGGGATGTCTGAGCACACTCAGGGGACAAGCAAAGGGACCCCTTCCAACTTAACAGTTTTCCCAATGACTCTGCACAGATCTGTACCTGTGGTATACCTCACAATGAGGGTCCTCCCCGGTCTCAAGGATTCCCTCACCATACCCCATCATGCCCTCCCCATCCAGGGAAGACTCGGCCTCCTGTAGACTGACCTGCCAGGAAGCAGGGGATGTGCACAGTGCGGTTGGTGAGGAGACAGGGGTCATCGTGCAGGTTGTCGAAGGGCAGCAGGGCTCTGCCATTGTCCTGGAAGCGCTGGTTGGTGGCCAGCAGTCCTAGATAGTTGGTCTGGTTGCGGAGCCGAAGAGCGAGGGAAACTTCACTGCCATACACCATGCTGGCATCCACAAAGGAGGTAAGCGCATTGATCTGGTTGCGGACTTTGTTCTTGCTTTGAGGGCATGATGGTGCAGAGCGGAAGAAGGGAATGCAGTCACGCTGGTTCTTGATGCGGGGGTCGTTGGGCGGTATCTGGGGGAAGAGCAGCCAGTGACTCTGGGGCCCTTCTACAGCAGGTTCACTCATCTCAGGCATCCCTACTGAAGGCATTGCTCAAAGCTTCCCTACTCCAGGAAACCCTCCAGGACTCACCCACACTCAAACTCAGGGTCTTGTACCTGTTAGGCAAGTGCTCTGCCCATGAACTGCTTCCCCAATCATGGATGAAGCTTTTGAAATGATGGAGCACTTCCTCTCACTGGGGACAGGTGGGGTAGGGAGAGTCTGAGCCTCTGAGAAACAGAGGTGGGGTGAGAATTGAGTTCCGGCTTTTGGGCCTAGCCCCTTTCATTCTGTTCAGTTCAATATCTGAACTCCTTTCTTGCTTGGGAGTTTAAAGCCAAGGAAGTTCAAAGAAGCTGGTACAGGTTGCAGGAAGCTGTCAGCACAGTGAAAAATGGACACGCATAGAGTCAAGTAATGCTAAATGGTGCTAGCATTTACTGTCCTTGTAATAACCACCAAATGTTGTGTTAGGAAGATCTGGAAGGTTCAGCAGAAGGAGGTGCCTCTCCAGCAGTGCTGGAGGGAGGGGTGAGGTGACATGTAATCCCCACTGAGTGCCAACCTTTCTATTGCAAGTGAATGTATAGTTGAGTGTGTGTGCACACATGGCCCCTTCTGCCCCAGAGGAGACTTTGCTCCCTGAATTCTGTATTTTCTTACCTAGAGCCCTACACTACCTTGCCTATCAGCCTAGAGGACAGGACCCTGCTCACAGCCCAACCCCAGGAGATGGTAAGAGCTTTAGGACTCTTGAACCTGCACCAACTGGAAAAGGGCAGGAGATGAGGCTGTAATGGCTTCCCATAATAGGGGCCCAGAATCTCCCTGTTGGTCAGACCTGTGGATCAAGGCAGGTCTCTGATGTGCCCCCTCCATGAAGCTCTAATGCAGCCTCTGGCTGCTTACCCCACTCCCACCACCTCTCCTCAGACATGCATGGCAGGGAGGTCTGTGTTTCTTGGTCTCTGGATGGGGTTTATTTCCTCCACGTTCTCCCATATCTTCTTCCTGGGGTAGAGGCTATCCCAGGAGCCTGGGAGGTTGGCTGAGGGTACCTTGATGGGGAAGCAGGGGGGCAGCTGGGCACAGGTTTTCTCACAGTCCACACCCATGATGAAAGCCACTCTGGCTGGGGACTCCGGGGAGAAGTCCAAGTCATGGTCAATGAACTGGCCCCACTGCATGAACATGAGGGTCCGGCCCCGGTCTGAGGCCAGCCTGTTGCTGGGGAAGCGCACGATCTGGTTGGAGACAGCCCGGACCTGGTGGGGAAATACAGTCGACATGGACCTGGGCTCATGATCCCTGCCAGCTGCTGGGACCAACCCAGAACTCAGGGCTTGCCAGTCCCATGCCAGAGCTGACACTTTTCCTTCTTCCATCTTCTCCCCTTTTCCAACTCTGTTCCTAGAGATGCAGCCCCCTCTTGTGGGTTGCTGTCATTCCCAGAAGGATGGTCTTGACCTGAGGCTTCCAGCAGTAAAGAGTTGAGGAACTCAGACATAATACACCTGTAACCCCTGCAATTGGGAGGCTAAGGCAGGAGGATTGTAAGTTCAAGTCCAGTCTATTACATAGTGAGTTACATGCCAACCTGAACTACACAGCAAGATTGTAGCTCAACAGATGTGCTTGAGTGTGTGTGTATGTGTGTGTGTGTGTGTGTGTGTGTGTGTGTGTGAGAGAGAGAGAGAGAGAGAGAGAGAGAGAGAGAGCTGATTTTCAGATACAGGACTGATTTCAAGATGATGAATAATAGAGAACTGGGTAGAAAGATGGAAAGTTCTATGGAAGAAAAATTAACATTTTAATATTAAGGCAGGTAGATGATTGTTACATCGACATGTCAATAGAAAGTTGACAAATGTAAAATAATATAGGTCATAGATTCATAGGCGCATAGCTTTTTATATTTAACAAGATACTTTGAGCTACGCATGGTGGCTCATACCTATAGTCCCAGCCCTAAGAAGCTGAGGCAGGAGGATTGCTGCGCACTTGAGGCTAGCCTTAGTCACAAAGTGAGCTCCAGGCCAGTCTGGACAGGAGATTAAGACCTTGTCTAAAAAAATAAAACAAAGTGATTAAGGATATGACTCGGTAGGTAAGGGCACTTGCTATGCAAGCAAGTTCAACTCCCCAGTGCTCACATAAAACCCCAACATTAGTCGGGAGTGGAGATGGGCAGATCTCAGAAGCTCACTGGCTAGTCAGCCTAGCTAAGAGAGAGAGCTTCTGGTTTAATAAGATGCCTTACTCAAAAAATAGGGTGGAGAGCAACAGAGGAAGACACGTGATGTTCTCCTCTGGCCTCTGCATGCACATGCATGGGTACACGCACCTACATACACATGGGCACATGTACCACACACGTGTACACACATGTATACACACATAGTTACAAAGATGCTTTGACGCCTATTCTCTCAGGAAAACAACAAAACAGTTCCATTCCATGATAGGTAGCATTCAGAGATCACCATCTATACAGTAATTTATATTAAGTACTTTACTTAATATGAGGGCAGCTTTTTTCTGCCATTTGCAGATGAAAGAAACTAAGACTCAGAAAGTGGTGTTCTCTGTCTAAAGTCACCCAGCAGGTTAACAGGAAAGCCTGGGCTTGAGTCCTGGGTTTGGCTAATTGGGTTGTAGTTTACCCTCTGTATTTCAAGGACATCAAGCATCCTCCAGACCTTCTACTCCAACTTACAAGAGGAAGAAGGAATCCATTGTGCCTCTTGCCAGGGGTCCAGCCAAAGGGGAGTGACAGACCGTCCTCATACTCGGCTGGTAGCCAGCGGGCCAGGGCCTGATTGGAGGCACCCAGCCAGGGTCTCCTCCTGTGGTAGTAAATGGGTGGATGTTAGCAGCGTTCAGGCTAGGGAGATGGATGGCGAGGGAAGGGAGGACCCAAAACCCACTTGTTGTTACATCTCCCGGTGATGGTGCGGTACTTGTTGCTGCACTTCTCAGCCTGGTCCTGGACAGCACAGCCACTGGCCTGGGACAGCAGGCGCAGCTGGGGTTCTGTGAGGACATCTGGAGGAACGGTGAGTAGGATTCTGAGTCCAGGGTCCTCATTCCTTCCTGGGTTGGTCTGCTATACCCCCATTTCTTCTAACATTTCCTAGGCTGTCCACCCCACCTCCCACTTTTGGCTTCTTGCCACTCCCAGGCTAAAGCAGGCCTTGGAGACTCAATGGGGAACACAGTACCAGTGACATTGAAGGGTCTGGATCCCTGGAGTCGAAGCCTCTCTTCTAGCAGCCCTAAGGCCACATGCATGTAATCAGCAGCCTGAACAACTCTCTTGGTGGCTGCTACTGGCTGCTTGAAGTAGGCCAAGAGATCCATGGGGCTGGCTGAGCCACTGCGAAGGCGCTGCTTGATACTAAGGGAAAGAGGAGAAGGAGGCTGGAGGAAGGAGGCAGGTGCAGACCACCGGCAAAGCCCCAGCCCAGCAAGGAGAACCATGGTATCCAAAGGTGCAGTTCGGATAAGATTACTTTGCCAGCAGCGCATCCACCCTCACTGACTCTCCTAGGCCTGTGGAACCTCAGTCCCAAGCCCACCTCTTCTGTGTCTGATTGTAGGCAGCATTCACCAGCAATTTGGCCTCTGCCATGCAGTTCTTAAGGACTGAATTCTCCACGTGCCTGGGGAAGGCTGTTGAAGGGCAGAGACTCAGCATCCAAGGGAGCCACAGATTCCCCAGATCCAAGTGCTTTCCCCTCTACACTCCTTGCCTCATACCAACCTTTCTTGGTGTCCAAGGGCGCAGTGCCTTCAGAGGGTTGGGTGAGGAAGAGTGCAGCTAGGACCTCCACCAGGGCCAGGAGCAGCTGCATCTTGCAAGGAGATGCCCCTGCCCAGCCACAACTGGAAAGGCAAGCAACCCCCACAAGCTCCACAGGCGGGCCCCTTGCTCCCTTCACCCTGAGGACCTCAGATGACCTCTTACCTACTACCCTTCTCAGGGAGTAGCTGAGAAGGGACTTTATATCCCATTCTGGGTGGGAGGAGGGCAGCTGTTTGCCCCAGAAGCCCAGCCCCAGAGGCGGAGCTCTAGAACCTTGCTCTGGTTTTCAGGGAAGCTGCATAACGAAAATACCCCAGCCTACCCTGGCCCTCACCAGACTGGGGAGCCTTCCCCTACCCTGTTCACCCCTCCTCCTCTCTCTTGGTCCATCCCCACCTCTGCTATTTCTCCCATAATCCAAAGAAGTGCCTGGGATGCAGGTGTCACCCTATGAATATTCACAGGATGACAGACCAGCAGGGTACTGACAAGAAGCCTGGGCTTGGCCCCATCACTAACTGTGGCTTACTGTCGTATTCCCTGTACTTAGCACAAGGCTTAATGTTCAGTGGACACTCAGAAAATGCTTGTTAAATAAATAATGTATGATCAATGATTCCGCTCCTCCCTTACCTCCCTAGGGCTACCAGATCCTTCTAAGCTGCCAGAGAGATAAGTGATGCTGAGGTAAGTCTGATAGTGAAATATCTCAGGGGACACTTGGGATGAGGTGTCACAGGTAAAACACAGCGAGTGAGCCACAGTGTCCTCCATAAAGTTGAAGATCCAGAGATTCTGGGCTTCTCCTAGATTTAACTCGATGCACAGAGATGATGTGTTTACTGAGTAGAAGGTTTAAGCCCTGGGGTCCTATGGGCTTGACTAGAGAGAGCTTGCTGCAGCAGACTCAAACTAACCAAAGTTTCAATCTGGCTCTGTCACTGGTAGTGTGACATTGGATGACTCCCCATTCCCACACCTTCCGTGCAGAACACACCTCAGTTAGCCCCACCCCAGCTCCACAGCTCCTTGTCTCTCCTGTCATCAGGCCCTTCTCTGGATGAGCCTGATGACTCTATTTCCACCTGCCTAGAGAACATGTTCATCTCTGAACTAGGCTCCAAAACCACTGCCATTGTGCCCACAGTCAACCTCTCCTGGTCCCATTCTTTGCTCAGTGCAGACACTGTACCTTCTCCACACCCTCTCAGGGCTTTTCAACAACCCCCCACCTCAACCTGCACATTGCCTTTCCCTGCCCCTCCTCTTATAGCAATGCCGCCAACACTGCCACCAGCCTCAACAGTTGCTTCTGAAACAGTCACTTGGCTTTGGTAACCCCTTTCACAAGTTCCAGTTGATGGGGCCCCCCATCTTATCGCCTGTCTTCAGCAGACACTCCTGAGCTGGGTGCCAAGGGATGGAAAGTCACAGGGAAGTCTCTGAAAGTCCACTGAGTTCCTTGCCGAGACCCTGCTAGACCCCAGTCTCCAAACCTTTGAGCCAGAGCAGTAATCCTGAGAGAGATTAAACTGCAAAGTGCAAAGTTTGTGCTTCAACTATTTCCTCCTCCTGGAGGACCGATGCCCCAGGCTTGAGTTAGGTGGGCTATATGTGCCATGTTGCCCTCCTTCTAGGAACTGTACATCCCACAGGGGTCTGCTATCCCCACAGGGACTACTAGTTCTTTAGCAACAAGGAGTTGGGCAAGGGTTGGCCACAGCCATAGGCTGCAGTAGGGTTGGGGTGAGCTGGGGACAGAGCCCTGGGCTCTAGAAGCCACCCTACCCACCACAGTGGCAGCATTTGGATGTCTTAGGGATTTGGTCCTATTGATTGCTCAGCATGGTAGTGAGTGGCAAGCAGATAGGCAGGACCACTGAGGAGCCCTGTGTAGCCAGACCATGGAAGGCAAGTTCTGGGGGTGTGGGCAAAGGCTAGGGGTCTCCAGATGAGACTGGACCTTAAGTCTTGACTGGCAGGTGGAAGTTCAGGCAGAGAGTCTAAAGGAGAAGCATGACCTGTCGTATGGCTCTCCTGACTCCTGGGGACTGGGTGCTCCTTCATCCTGCTCTCAACTGTTCTCCTATGGGACTGTGTTCCTAGGCCCCAACTGTAAGATTTTCTACCTACAAGCCTCACCCTTTTGACTACTTCCAACCCCTCTTCCTGGCTCCTTCTGGGAGGCCATATTTGGCTTGCCCTGAGGTCAGGACGGGGGCCTGTTGACACCAAGAGGCCTGTTGACAGCAGCTCAGAGAGGTGACCAAGGACGTTTGTCATCGCGTCATCCTGTCAGGCAAGCTGCTCATCCCCAAGGCCATCTTCTGGGTAGTTCGCAGAGGCCTTCCTTGACTTCCTGGTAGAGTTGTCAGAGAGTGCGTGTAACCTGCCTCCACAGTGCCTGGCACAGCAGTGTGTTGAAGAAGCCTTGTTGCTCTGCCCTAATGTTGCTTCTTTCTTGTGCTCACTCCAGCTGTCCCTTGGGTGGCCATGGCCTTCAGTTTGATGGGAGGAGTGGGAGTGCAAAGGCTTCTCAGATCTTTCAGGGCAGGACCTCTAGAAGAGAGGCCTCTAAAGTGAGGGTGTGGCCACCTGACCTTCTGGGATGGAGGCACTGGGACCTGGGGGAAGGGACAGTGATGAAGGAATGGTGCCTCCTCCAGGGATCTCCAGCCCGGGCACCTCCTGTGGCCTTCACTAATGCACAGGCCTGATGGGCAGGGTCCTCACATGCTTACAATGGTCTGCTCAGACATTGGCTTTTTTTTTTTTTTCCTGTGGCCAGTGCAACCAGAAGGGACCAGAAGAGGGTAAGGACAAGAAGAGGGGCATGGACAAAGGCCATGGGTCCCCCACAGACTTTTTATCACTGGGTTTTTTTTCTCATGGGACCTCATTAGGGAGAATTTCCTTGTGATTAAGTTTTGCCCATTGGCAACAGAGAGACGCTTGCAGCAGATTATTTTTTAATATCATCACTTAGCTAACAAAATCATGTTGAGTGATACTCATTAAATAAAACAAGGAATGATGGCCAGAAATATGTGGAAGTTTTCTTTTATTGACCTTTGTGTATATAATTATGTCAGTTAAAAAAAAAAGTATTAACCAGGTAAGCTGCTGTATGCCTATAATCCCAGCTCTCAGGAGGTAGAGGCAGGAAGATCTGGAGTTCTCAGCTACATAGGGAACTGGAGGCCAGCCTGAGCTATGTGAGGCTCTGTCTTTAAAAAAAAAAAAAGGAGGAAAAAAATATCATTGAATAAGAGAAAAAGGGAAATAGATTAAGTAGTAAATGGATTCATTAGTACATGAATATGTCCTAAATAAAGGGAAAATGCTTAAATATTGTTATTTTTGTTGTTATTGTTGTTGTTGTTTGAAACAGGGATTCATGTAGCCTGCCTCAAACTCACTGTGTAGCTAAGGCTGTCCTTGAACTCCTGATCCTCCTACTTCCATTTTTCAAGTGCTGGGATTACAGACATGCACCTATATACCCAGCTCATATTAACAGTTGTAATATTTAATATATCATTGAATTTTCTTGATCTGTTCTTTAGTTTTAAAATGAACAATTATGCCAGGTATGGTGGCACATGCCTGTAATCTCAGCACTTGTGAAATCAACAAGGTTCGAGACCAATCTGCTCTGTGTAACAAGACTGTAGAAAACAGTTTAAAGAGAACAAATTCAGGACTGAAGGGATGGCTCAGCAATTAAGAGCACTGACTTCTCTTGCAGAGGACCCAGCTTCAATTCTCAGCACCCTCATGATGGCTGATAACTGTCCTTAACTCCAGTTCCAGGAGATCCGACGCCCTCTTCTGACCTCTTCGGGGATTGCAGGACATGGATGCACCCACCTACATGCAGGCAATACACTCATACACATAAAATAAAAATAATAAATAAAAATTTTAAAAAGAGAAGAACAAATTCAATCTGGAACACCTGAATAAATCAGTAAAAACTTTATGGATAAAGTACATTACACTTAAAGATATAGTTTATTCACCATTTAAAATTTTAAATATAAATGAAAACTCCAATTTTCATATAGAACAACAGAGTTAAAAGAAATCAAGTTCCAGCCGGGCATGGTGGCACACACCTTTAATACCAGACTTGGGAGGCAGAGGCAGGCGGATCTCTGTGAGTTCAAGGCCAGCCTGGTCTACATAGTGAGTTCCAGGACAGTTAGGGCTACAGGGAGACCCTGTCTCAAAAAAAAAAAGAAATCAAGTTCCAAGCTGGGCATGGTGGCACACGCCTTTCTTTAATCCCAGCAGTTGGAAGAGGCAGAAGCAGGTGGACCTTTGTGAGATCAAGGCCAACCTGGCCTACATAGCAAGTTCCAGGCCAGCTGTGGCTACAGGGAGACTCTGTCTCAAAAAGATCAAAAACAAACCATCTGTTTAAAGGCAAGAATCTACAGGGCGAGTGGAGTGAGAAGCTCCAGTCTGTCAGACCATTCTGGAGCATTGGTCCTTACTCTCAAAGTGAATGCACACAGCTGAGGAAACCGTTGTCCTGGGGATTTTCCAAATTAAGCACAGTACTTATTACAAGCAATTAAAAAACCACTAACTTGGGGCTGGAGAGATGGCTCAGCAGTTAAGAGCCCTGTCTGCTCTTGCAGAGGACCTAGGTTCTATTCCCAGCCACTCACATGGCAGTTAACAACTGCCTGTAACTCCAGTTCCAGGGGAATCAGATGCCCACTTCTGACCTCCATAGGCATTGTACAACATGGGTGCACTTACATATATGCAGCAATATACTCATACATGTAAAATAAAAACAATAAATAATTTTTAAAACCCACTAACTTGATGCTCACAAGGTTTATTAAAGTTAAACAGTATTTGCAGAAATTGTTTAACATACAGAGCAACACAAGCTCTCTTTGGGGAAGAGAGTTTTCTCAGTGAATGTCTTTAGAACTGCCACAGCGAGGGTACTCATCGTAAGTGGTCTGACCTGTCATCTGTGTTATGATTCCACGAAAATTCCCAGCAAAAGCAACCATTATTTTCTGCACAAGGGTGGACAGTTCTGCTCTGTCCCTGGTTCTGGTTTTTTGTCCCTGTCTCATACCTTCACTAAATGATAAGACAGGAGGCTTTGAGTCCCCCCACTTTCCACTCCTACACATATTTTGGGTCCCTGGGGAGAGGGAGGAGGGGAACACCCCAAGTAGGGAATGGGCTATTCGCATGCTATGCTGTGCTGGAGGCACATGGCCGTAGTGGCAAGTCACTTTAAAGGGCCCATGCACTTTATCTCTGAAGCAGCAGTCCAGGGAATCCTGGATGCTTCCTCAGCTCCTCAGGCCTTGCAGCATCTCTCCAGCCTCCCTCTCACTCCCCTCCCACCACACCCCAGCCTTAATGGATGCACCATATTTTCCCCATCTCTAGGTCCTTTTATGTAGTCTATCACCAGAACAACTCTATTCATCACCCCCATCCACCTCCTCTAGGAAGCCTTCCACCCACCCCTTCCTGCTCACTCCCCAATATAATCTCAGATAGATGCCCCACTTTGGTCTGCAGGGCACCCTATGCTGGTGCTACTCAAGCTCATTGAGTTTTACTGAAGGAATGATGTCACCGTATCTATCTCCTAGACAGATGCCTAGCTCTCTGGGGTCAGGGAAAGGAACCCTGGGCCTGATCTTTACAGCATAGGGGTGAGCCAGGGCTCAGAAATGTGTGGTACATGAGTGGCCAGTATTCTTACTTAACTTCCCAAGTCCATATACCATTTTCTACCTAGAAAAGAAAAAAACATCCCCTCCCTAGCTGGGATTTCCCAAATCCTCTTTCTTCCCCAGCAGCCAGTTCGACCACAGTCCCAGGGAGGATAGCAGGAGCATGGGCTTCCAGAAGGCCATGAGGATGGACAGGCCACAGAGCATAGAAATAGCAGTAGTTGCAAGTTTGGGAAGCTTGGCTCTCTATAACCCTGTGTGAGCACCTCCTTAAGCAAGTGAAGACTAGAACTTCTGAACATGGATGAATTTCCCTCTGGGCTTGACTTGGCCATAGAGGCTGGAGAGTCTCAAAGGCAAGTTCTTCCCCCTGAAAGGGAAATGGCCAAAACAAAAAGTCAAGGCTGACCCACTCGGTACTTGTCAAGAAGACGACACAGGATAAGATAAAACTCAGTGCCTGCCTAGCATGCTCAAGGCTTTGTTCCATCCCAAGCACTGAGAAGGAAGAGAAGGAAAAAGAGGAAGAAGAGGAAGAGGAAGAGGAGGAGGAGGAGGAGTGGGGGGGAGCTACTGTTGGGTCACAGGAGATGACAAGGCTATTTGGAGTCCTCAGGGATCAGACCACTGACCATCCAACCTCTCAACTGTCTGCCTATGCTCCCTCCCTCCCTCCCTCCCCCTCTCCCCTCCTGCTGTGAGAGCAGGAAGCTGTGGGAAGTTGGTTCTACTAGCACCAGTCAGCATCCAGTCTCCTCTGATGTCTCATCCTGACCCATGGGCAGCTTCTCCTAAAGGAAAAGGCATAAGTGGGGAGGAATCACACAGTGTGGCTCTTGGCCCATCCCCAGAGCAACCTACTCCCCCCCTGCTCCAAGTTTTTTTTGCTTTCTAAATCCACTGTTTTTCAGCTTCCTAGCAAGGTCTAACTTCTTCCAGCCATGACCCACAAAGACACTTCCCCTTGGCCTACATTATATGCCAATGGATTATTGAGAACCTCCAACTCCCTGTAGGTTTGAGTACCACAAAGAAACAAACACAGACTAGTGTTTTGTTGCTCACACTAGTGTCATCCTTAATTGTGCCTGACAGGCCTGAATAGGATTTATAGAATGGATGTGTTTGCCATGACCTTACTTGCCACGGCTTTTGGATCAGGAAATGGATTTGGGCCTATGTATGTCAGAACTGGTACCTCTGGTGAGGGCCAGTGTTCTCCCTGATCCAGACCAGCTATGGATCAGTGAATGCTGTGGCAGGGTACGCCCTGCAGACTGACAGACTGATGTCCATGCTGTGGACAGTACAGCTTCTTTCTCAGGCAGCTTTAGCTGGAGAAGTTTCCTTTCAGTCTCCCCTGGCCAGCCCAAAACCTCAAACTTTTGCAGTTACTTTCACAAGAACCGTTCGCCAGCCATGGTAGAACTGCTGGCCACAGGCCTGATTGGATCTCTTTATCTGCTCTTCTCCAACTGCTCTTATGAAGACAGAGGGGCAGGACAAGGCTCATGGCCTGGCAAAACTGCCCTGGCACCCAAGGGTTCCTTGCAAAGGGGCTTGGGCCTTAGTATCACCATGAGAAGAGATGTATGCCAGGAGGAAAGGCATGACTAAACTTTAGTGGCTCCACACTATGCCAGAGGCCAGGAACTTGTTCATGTGTGCATGTGTACATCACCCATATGTATGTGTGCTCCTGAGCAGGGTTCCCCCTGGAAGGAGGCAGCTCTGAGTTCTCTGCCTTTATTTCTTGGGAAAATGCAACTTGGAACCCTGGAGAGCTGGCTTGAAGTCCAGCATCACTCCTGTCTATATGACCTTCAGCAAAGGCTTGGCCTCTCTGATCTGCTAATCAAGTTAGCAAGGGGCAGGAAGGGGCAGTACTAACTCTGCAGCTGGCCTGGAGGTACTTCCCTTGTACCCCATCTTGGGTGAGGATCCTGTGGGATGACTGCCCCAGTTTGTGGGGATAGGAGCTACCTTGGAGCAAGGCTTGGAGGAAACCTGGGAGGAAGAGCTGAATTCTCCCTCAGCTCCCCCAGGCTTACACATTTTCAATCAAGAACCAGCACAGGCTAGGGAGCTATTTGTTGATAAAGCACTTACTACATAAGCATGAGGACCCAAATTCAATCCCTAGAACACACATAGAAAGCCAGCCATGAAAGTATATGCTTGAAATCCGTTGCTGGGGAGGCATACAGGAAGGGATATGCTAGCCAGCTAGTATAGTCTAACTGGAAAGTCCCAGGTCCCAAGGTGGGGCCTAGAATGATAGCTCATCAGGTAAGAGCACATTCAGCTCTTGCTGAGGACCCAAGTTCAGTTCCTAGCACACACATTGGGCAGCTCACAACTACCTGTACTCCAGCTCCAGGGGATCCAGAGCCCTTTTCTGGCCTTCATGGACACTGCATCCACGTGCACACATGCCCTACACATACACATGGTTTTAAAATTAAAATTAAGAAAAGTCTTAGAAAACTCAGAACAAACAATACCTAAAGAGAGTAAACAGGAAAAGATAAATAAAATCAAGGCTGAAATTAATGAAATAGAAATGAAGAAAACACTATAATCAATGAAATGAATGATTGGTTCTTTGAAAAGATTAACAAGATGGCACACCTTTAGCCAAATTTAAAAAAAGAAAGAGGAGCCAAATTAACAAAATCAGAGATGAAAAGGGAAATATTACAACAGACCTGGAAGAAATTCAGAAAACCATAATGGCATACCTTAAAAATCTATATTCCACTAATCTAGAAAATCTAAAAGAAATGGACAAATTTATAGATATGTACAGCATACCAAAGTTAACTCAAAATGACATAAATAATTTAAACAGACCCATAACCAATGAGATAGATACTGTAATTTAAAATCTCCCAACTATGGGGCTAGAAAGGTGGCTCAGTAGTTAAGAGCACTGGCTGCTCTTTCAGAGGACCCTGGTTCAAGTTCCAGCACCCATATGGTGACTAACAGTCATCCATAACTCCCGTTCCAGGGGCTCCAATGCCCTCTTCTGACCTCCACAGGCATTTTATGACAGGTGCACTTACCAACATGCAGGCAATACACTCATTCACATGAATTAAAAATAATAAAAGATTAAAAAAATTTTCCCAACTAAAGTGGGGGTGAGGGTGGGACCAGGCCCAGAGGGCTCCTGGGGACTGCAGGGAGGGATTGGGTTGGTCTGGATGCAAAGGATCAGGAAGCAGTGAGAATTTCTGGGCCTAGAGGTCAGTCCAGGAGTCTGCAGTTCCAAGACGAGAACTGGGCCAGCACCCAGGTTAGGAGGGAAGCTGGGAAGGTGAATGAGGCTGGGGGAGTCAAGGCACAGCAGACTGCGGGACCCACCCAGGCAAGATGCTAGCACCAGGGAGCTGGTGGCTGAGTCGCAAAGAACCTAGGACCAGATGGATACAGTGTAGAATTTTACTAAACCTTCAAAGAAGAACTAATACAATACTCCTCAAATTAGTCCATAAAATAGAAAAAGAAAGAACACTACCAAATTCTGTGAAGCCAGTATTACTCTAATACCAAAACCAAAGACCCAACAGAAAAAGAAACATATAGACCAATCTCTCTGATGATCATGGATGCAAAGTTCTCAATAAAATACTCCCAGACCGGATGCAAAAACACATCAAAAAGATTATTTACCATGACCAAGTTGACTTCATCCCAGAGATGCAGGGATGGTTCAATATATGTAAATCAATAAATGTAATACACCACATAAACAGACTGAAGAACAGAAACCACATGATCATCTCACTAGATAGAGAAAAGGCCTTTGACAAAAATCTGATATCAATTTATGATGAAAGTCATGGAGAATCTAGGAATACAGGGAACATACCTCAACATAATAAAGGCAAAATAAAACAAGCGCACAACCAACATCAAAATAAATGTAGAAAAGCTGAAAGCATTCTCACTAAAATCAGGAACAGCCAGGCATGGTGGTGCATGCCTTTAATCCCAGCATCCGGGAGGCAGAGGCAGGTGGATCTCTGTGAGTTCAAGGCCAGCCTGGTCTCCATAGTGAGTTCCAGGACAGCTGAGGCTACAGGGAGACCCTGTCTCAAAAAGACAAAAAAAAAATCAGGACAAGACAAGGCTGCCCACCCTCTCCAAGGCTGCACACCCTCTCCAAGGCTGCCCACCCTCTCCATCCCTGTTCAGTATAGTACTTGGAGTGTTAGCTAGAGCAATAAGACAAATGAAGGAGACGGGGATACAAACTGGAAAGGAAGAAGTCAAAGTATCCTTATTTTCAGATGATATGATCCTATACATAAAAGACCCTAAAGACTCCACCAGAAAACTCATAGGGCTGATAAATACATTCAGTATAGTAGCAGGATATAAAATTAACACCCCCAAATCAGTAGCCATCCTATATATGAACAACAAACATACCATGAAAGAAATCCAGGAAATGATCCTATTCACAATAGCCTCAAAATTCATAAAATATCTTGGAATAAATCTATCAAAGGAAGTCAAGTACTTCTTCAATAAAAACTTCAAGACACTGAAGAAAGAAATTGAAGAAGATACTGGAAGATGGAAAGACCTCCCACGCTCAAGGATCAGTAGGATTAATATTGTGAAAATGGCCATCCTACCAAAAGCAATCTACAAATTCAATGTAACACTCATTAAAATTCCAACACAATTCTTCATAGAAATGGAAAAAAATAATCTCAAATTTCATATGGAAACAAAAAAGCTAGAATATCCAAAATAATCCCAAACAATAAAAGAACCACTGGAGGCAGAGCTGTAGTAATAATGACAGCGTGGTACTGGCATAAAAACAGACACATCGATCAGTAGAATAGAGCTAAGAACCCAGATTTAAACACACACACTTAGAGTCGCCTGATTTTTGACAAAGGAGCCGCAAACACACACTAGAAAAAAGACTAGTTTCCCCAAAGAGCTCGAAATTGTTCTATCATATGATACAGCCATAGCACTCTTGGGCATATGTACAAAAGACTCTATATCCTACTACGAAAATACCTGTTCTTCCATGTTCATGGCTACTCTTTTCATAACAGCCAGAAATTGGAAATGTCCATCAATTGATGAGTGGATAAGGAAGGTATGGCATATATACACAATGGGATACTATTCAGATCTTTTAAAAATGAAATTATGAAATTTGCAGGTAAGCTGATGGAACTGGAAGCAATCATCCTGAGTGAGGTACTCAGGAGAACCTGAGAGGTATCCTGAGAAGACAAACATTGCATGTTCTCTCTCATAGCTGGATGCTGTCTTTGAAATCCTACATATGCAAGTTTCAATTTGAAAATCCAGAGAAGTCAGGAAACTAATAAATGGCCATGGAGAGGGGGCAGCTTCCTTGGAGGGGTGGTAGAATGCAGTGATAGAAAGGGGATGGGGGAACATTAGAAAGGGTTAAATGGGGTGAGAAATGGGAGGGCAGGGCAGAGGAGGGAGTATGAGGAGGGATGACCAACACTAATTGCCTTTAGAAAAAGCCATTTGGAAACCTATCACTATAGAAGCTTCTTAAAGTACATACATACACATTATAAAAGGAGATTAAATGGAATTGCCATTGTCCCTACTAACACCAAAGGCTAACAGAATAAAAGCCCAACACCAGGAATGGACTCCCTTTCTAGAAGCTGTTGACCAGGGGTCCCATAGACCCTCAAATAATACTGACTTACTGGCCCTGCTCTTGGTTACCCACCAAAACTTTACAGTAAATCCCTATTGCTGAAGACACTAC